ATTAGTGACTATAATTCTGCTATGTTCCAAATAACATCTAAATTAAAGTTATGCGGATAAAAAGTCATTGATGCTGATATGTTGGAGAAAACCTTTTCTACTATGCATATCTCTAACATGCTGCTCCAACAGCAATATAGAGAAAAGGGTTTTAAAAAATACTCCGATCTAATATCAGTATTATTGGTAGCTGAGCAAAATAATGACCTATTGATGAAAAATCATAATCTGAGACCCAATGGTTCTAGTCCTTCGGTTTATGGTCCAACTGGCCATAATTTAGCCACTGAATCAAATGCAACATACAGTGGCAATAGAAGGCATTTTAAACGTGGGCATTTTAATGGTCATAAAAACAAGTCACACCGAGAATATAAACAGGTCAATAGACCAAATTATAAGGGCAAGGGCAAACAAAAGGACCATCAAATAAATCGCCCTCCAAAAACCTCGGTAAAGACGACTTGTTATAAATGTGGCATGATGGGGCATTGGGCTAACAAATGCCGCACTGCAAAGCATCTGGTGGAATTATTTCAAGCTTCCATGAATTTGAACAACGGCAAAAATATGGAAGCTAATTATGTCAACGACACGACTCCACCTCTGCCAAAATTTGACGTGTCCGACTTTTTCGCGGATGATGCCATTATGGACGATGCTTTTACAATAAACCAAAATGTCACAAAATAAAATATTAGACTCCGATCCTTATGTTGTAACATATTAGTTTTATGTATTTTTTCTTTCTTCCCTTTTTCTTTTGTTTTTAAATAAATGTGTGTAATATATGTACTTTATGTTAAATTATATGCACAATTTGTGATCAAGCTTATGTTTATTTACACATTTTGAAGATATGGATCACTCAAATGATAAATAGCTATGTCTGATAGACAGCGCCACAACGCACACCATTTTGAGAAATAAAATATATTTCTCTCAAATGACTTTAGTTGAGGCTAAAGTCAATACCATATCAGGTGTTGCGAAGCTCATTGAAGGCTCTGGGAAAGCATATGTGATGTTCCCTAACGGGACCAAAATAATTATAAATGACGCTTTGTACTCCAGCAAATCGCGGAGGAATTTATTAAGTTTTAAAGATATGCGTCAAAATGGTTATCACATAGAAACCATGAATGAAAACCAAAAGGAATATATTTGTCTTACAACAACTAAATCTGGCACTAAATATATTTGTGAAAAAATGCCAGCATATTCCTCAGGACTATATTTCACATATATTAGTCCATTTGAAATAAATTTGGTTTCTAACACAAAATTAGATGATCAGAAAACATTCATGTTGTGGCATGACCGTTTAGGTCACCCAGGCCATGTAATGATACATAAAATCATTAAGACTTCGCTTGAACACCCATTAAAGAATATAAGGGTTCCAATATCAAGGGATTTTTCTTGTAAGGCCTGTTCTCTTGGCAAAATGATCATCAGACCCTCTATGAACAAAATTGCAACTGAATCACCTGCATTTTTAAAAAGGATTCAAGGAGATATTTGTGGGCCGATAGCTCCACCATGTGGACCATTTCGATATTTTATGGTGTTGATTGATGCTTCAACACGTTGGTCACATGTCAGTCTGTTATCGACTAGAAATCTAGCATTTGCCAAACTCCTTGCTCAAATCATACGATTAAGAGCTCATTTTCCGGATCATTCTATAAAGAGAATCCGACTTGACAATGCAGGAGAATTTACATCTCAATCATTTAACGACTATTGTATGTCGATTGGGATTGATGTGGAGCACCCTGTTGCTCATGTCCATACACAAAATGGTCTTGCTGAATCATTGATTAAACGATTACAATTAATCGCCAGACCATTATTAATGAAGTGTAATTTACCTTCATCAGCTTGGGGACATGCTATTTTACATGCATCAAATTTAATTCAGCTTAGACCGACTGCATATCATGAATATTCCCCAATGCAATTAGTTACTGGACAAGAGCCAAACTTAGCACACATACAAATATTTGGTTGTGTTGTTTATGTTCCAATTGCTCCACCTCATCGTACCAAAATGGGTCCTCAAAGAAGGTTGGGAATTTATGTTGGATTTGAATCTCCCTCAATAATCAAATATCTTGAACCGATGACTGGTGACTTATTCACCGCACGATTCGCTGACTGTCATTTCAATGAGACAGTATTCCCAACCTTAGGGGGAGAAACTAATAAATCGGACCCAAGTACGAAAGAAATAACATGGAATGCAACATGATTATCACACCTTGATTTCAGATCAAATATATGTGAGCAAGAGGTGCAACAGATAATCCATTTACAAAATGTTGCAAATCAGTTGCCTGATGCATTCACAGATACAAAGAAAGTGACAAAGTCACATATTCCTGCTATGAATGCTCCTGCCAGAATCGAAATTCCAACAGAGAATTTTAAAAAATCTCTTGCAAATGATTCTTCTATACGCAAAAAGCGTGGCAGGCCACTTGGATCAAAAGATATAAAACCAAGAAAAACTAAAAGGCAGGAATTGGTTTGTGATGCCAAAGATGTTCTTCCTTCTGAAAAAGAACATGAACAATTTGAAAATACTGGCATAGAAAATGATATTGACAAAACAAACATCTCAAATGATGATCCAATTTCTTTAAACGAGGAAGATATTCCAGATAATGATAGAAACATTGATAATTATGAAATTTCAATAAATTACGTTTCTACTGGAATACAATGGAATCGAAAAGATATTGATATTAATGAGATATTTGTCTATGCCGTTGCCACAAATGTTATGAATGAAAACAATGACAATGAGCCAACATCTATTGAAGAATGCCGGAAACGACACGATTGGCCAAAATGGAATGAAGCTATTCAGGCTGAATTAAAATCACTTGAAAAACGTGATGTTTTTAGACCGATAGTCCCTACGCCAAAAGGCGTAAAACCGGTGGGCTTTAAATGGGTATTTGTGCGTAAACGCAATGAGAAAAATGAAATTGTAAGATATAAAGCCCGACTTGTTGCCCAAGGGTTTTCTCAAATGCCAGGAATTGATTATGAATAAACCTATTCTCCAGTAGTTGATGCAACTACATTAAGGTTTCTCATTGGCATGTCTGTTTTTGAAAGGCTGCAAATGCGCCTAATGGATGTAGTGACTGCATATTTATACGGTTCACTCGATACAGACATTTATATGAAAGTTCCCGGAGGGTTTAAAATGCCCGAAACTTACAACTCGAAACCACGAGAAATGTTTTCCATTAAACTACAAAAGTCATTGTATGGACTAAAACAATCTGGACGAATGTGGTATAATCGTCTCAGTGAATATCTTCTCAAAGAAGGATACAAGAATGATCCGATTAGTCCACGTGTTTTCATTCGGCGATCAAATTCGGGATTCGTCATAATTGCAGTATATGTTGATGACTTAAACATTATTGGAACTCTCGATGAAATTGAAAATACTGCAAAATATCTTATGAAAGAATTTGAAATGAAAGATCTCGAAAGAACCAAATTTTGTCTCAGACTTCAAATTGAGCATTTGAAGAATGGAATTTTCATCCATCAATCAAATTACACCGAGAAAGTTTTGAAGAGATTCTATATGGACAAAGCTCATCCTTTGACTTCACCAATGGTCATTCGATCTCTCAACATACATGATGATCCATTCCATCCCCGAGAGGACAACGAAGAAATACTTGGTCCTGAAGTACCATATCTGAGTGCTATTGGAGCTTTAATGTATTTAGCTAATAATACTAGACCAGATATTGCATTTTCTGTAAATTTATTAGCTAGATACAGCTCATGCCCAACAAGGTGTCATTGGAACGGGATCAAGCACATATTCCGTTATCTCCGTGGTACAGTTGATCTCGGCCTATTCTACCACAAAGATGCAAAAGTCACTTTAATCGGATATGCAGACGCTGGATACTTATCAGATCCTCAAAAGGCGAAATCACAAACCGGGTACGTATTTACTTATGGTAACACCGCAATCTCGTGGAGATCTATGAAGCAGACATTGACAGCTACATCATCAAATCATTGTGAGTTAATTGCACTATATGAAACCGGAAGAGAATGTGTGTGGCTGACTGGCTGCGATCAATGATTCAACACATCCAAAACGAATGCGGTATGAAGCCTAATACTTGTCATCCTACTGTGATCTACGAAGACAACACCACGTGCATAGCTCAGATTAAAGAAGGCTACATCAAAGGAGACAGAACGAAACACATATCACCAAAGTTCTTCTCTACTCATGATCTGGAGAAAGAAGGGATGATCAACATTCAACAAATCAGATCTAGTGAAAATCCGGCTGATCTCTTCACCAAATCTTTACCCCCAAAGAAGTTCATAGAACTTGTGCAGAAAATCGGCATGCGCCGCCTTCAAAATTTATGTTAATTTCAGGGGGAGTATTTTGAATGCACTGCACTCTTTTTTCCTTCATCAGGTTTTTGTCTCACTGGGGTTTTCTTGATAAGGTTTTTAACGAGACAGTACATCCAAATACAACGACATTATAAGTCGTAATCTTTACCCCTTAATTTTCACAATAAATTTTTAAAATAATAAATATCTATTCAAGGATGAACATTCAAGGGGGGGTGTTGTAAAATCCTGAGAATGACAAGTGTGAATTGTTCATCCTTGTCATCAGGACACTAATTCAATTTCCATCCTTGTAATAGACAGATGACTAAGTTTAATGTTTCCAGCAGATTATGTAGAATAATTCTTTGATGATTCATCTCCTAACCAACTAGTATAAATAGGGTGATCAACCCTTTGTAAATGTACTTAGAAATTCAGAAAATATTCAGATATTAAGAAAAAGTAATTTAGAGCTTTTATCTATATATCTATCTCTTAAATTTGATCTTCATCTTCTTCATTTCACAAAAAAAACATTATTTTTTACCTGTTGCCATTTTCATATTTACGTATTGAGTATATACACTACAGTCCACAGCCTACGGGCACTTCAAAAAAATTAAAGTATAATTGCCGTTTTCTTATTTATACATTGGGATTATTGAATCCGGTAATGATAGTTGATTCCCCGGCTGCCTTAAAGCGAAGGAGGTTCAGTATTGTCGATCCCATGGAAGCTGATTCTGCTAAGGTCTCCTTATACTCAACTCCTTCATTCATTTGTTTTCCTGCGATTTTATGCCCTCTTGTTTGATAATTGATATCATGTCTACTTTCTTAATAAGCTAATGCCTGATCCCCAACTCCTTCTCGATCCATCAAGTTATGATAAACTTTCTTTTGAGCCTTGATGCTCTATGTCCATGAATTTATTGACGTTGCTAATTGCTATTGATATGCCACCCCATCGATGTATCACATATATAACTTGAAAGAAGTAGACATCTCCCCTAACTACGAGAAAGGTTTTTTTAACCTCTCCACTGTGCTTATGGAATAGTTGCGGTCCGTTTGGAGCAGGAAAATAGGAAGGAGTAATGGAAGAAAAGAAAACATCAACAAAAAAGTTGTTTCAAACGCAATTTGTCAAGTTTAGATATGTGTTCAAACTAATTTCTATTTTTATTTCTATTAAGTGAAGACCGCAAAATTTAAATATATTAAAAGTTTAGAAAAATTAACTACTCATATTTTACCTTTATATTTCCATTCTAAAATCGTAGTATCAAATACCCTTTTCCTAAGGGTTCTTTTGGGAATTTGAAGGGGCTAGGGAAAGGAGGCTTGGGGGGGATTTTTTAAGAAATTTGGAAAGAAAGAAAACATTGGGGGAAACAGACAACGGTTCTACTCAAATTCATTTTCAAATTTATTTCTATCATTTAATTGCTTAGAAATCTAAATGTATGCAATGCTAAAGACTCAAGTCGTTTTTCATTTTCCTTTGCATTTCTGAGGTGAATCCATACATTAGAGAAAGCTTTGTTTAGCATTTCCCCCCTTCCCTACCCTTTTCTCTGGGATCCAGACATAGCTCCAGTATATGGTTATCCTTTCCAGACATAGCCCTGAAGAATATAAATTGGAATTCAATGGAGTGTAAAGAAAGAAAGGTTTTAACTTATAAGGGAATAAAGAGCTGAAGATTTAGTAGCCTTTTGACTGTTAATATACTCCTTATTCTTCCTTAGGTAAATGAATACTCTTCTTCAATATAATTGCTGAGTTGATATTGATGATTTGATACATCATTGATAGTTTGCTTAAGGTTTCAACTTTTCATGTACCAATGCTTTATTTCACATGAAGGCACCACACTCCCTCATGTTATATAGCTACTGATTTTGATGCATCTCAAATCCAGGCGAAGCTTGCAGCTGCAAAGGAAAAACTTGGCCGCGAAATCCGCATCTTTCAAACAATAACCGAATCTGCAGCTTCAAGTGGTATCGCTCAAGATGGTATTTCCTGCTTGGTGTAGAACAATTAATTACTAACATATCTCCATCTTGTCGTCATGTTTGACAGTCCACATCTCTTTTTTTAGGGCAACCTATTGAAGAATCAGAGGACTACTATGAGTTTACAGCTGATGATTATTTTCGTCTAGTGGCAACAAAGAAGAAAGGTACTAAACACAATAACACCTAGTGATGTGTATGTGGTGAATGTGTATTAGCAATATGTGTAGATTTACATGTGCGCAAGCCTTTATATGGTAGCTCATACATGCTTATAATGTTTCATCTTTAACACTGGCACAAACAGACACATACTTGAAGACTCGTAAATTAAGAGAAGCAGAAGAAGCTGCACGCAGATCAAAATTAACCAAGGTGGTTTCTTTTGCAGTATTTTATAATTTCGGTGTCTATTTAGGCATTTACTGAATTTTTAGCACGGCAATATTCATATGTTTTTTAAATATCTATGCATTATTGCTTGCAGGCTGTAATCAGAGTGCGGTTTCCTGATAATGTCACGCTGGAGGCATCATTTCATTCATCAGAGACGATCCAGGACTTGGTTGACCTTCTTGTGAAAGCGATTCTTAGACCAGATTTGCCTTTCTATTTATGTAAGCGTGTCTGAAAATCTACTTTCATAATTTGAAGACTTACCTGTCCCACTTAAATGAACTATCATCGAAAAGTAAAAGCTTGCTTCTTCATTATTTGGACAGATACCACTCCTCCCAAGAAGCAGATAAAAGACATGTCCCAGGATTTTTACTCTGCCGGTTTTGTTCCTGGCGCAATTGTGTATTTCTCATATAACGTACCAAATGGTCAGTAAATGCTCCGCTAACATTTTGGCCTTCATTACCAATGTATCTTACTTTTGTGGGTTTCAGTTATAAAAATTTGTTATTTGCTTTGTTCTTCTTATTCAGTGAGAATTTTAATTTTCATATAACAATCAAAATTAAAGCTATATTTAGCATAAGTCAGATGGCTAGATAAATAAAATACAATAAAGTTTCTAATCTGGGCTTTAACAGCATTGGGTTGAGTTGGATGCGTTTTTTCAAAAACTTGTCATATTTTGTCCTTGTATTTCAAGCTTCCAGCGAATGCTTGTTGGATTATGTATGAGATAAATATCTAAGAACAAGTGAACAACGAATACCACCACCTTTCTATTCTTGTTATTTCTAATGCATGCAGCCAAGATTTGGCATGGAAGAAACACAAAGTTCTGTGAACTTGGAGAAATTTCTTATGTTCTACTTACTACTTGGAGGAGTTTGGGAAATCTTCATAGTTTCTTTTATTTTAATATTATGATTCTATTTATACTCAGCACTAAATTTTCTATGAAAGGCAATATATAAAAATTTAGAAGTAATGAAATAGTCCTTATAATCTAACTAGTATCTTAAACTGTTAATTTATGTTAATATTCTCTGACTATAATTTTGCACTCTTAAAAAAGCTAATTATCTACATAATCACTGAGTAGATGTAACATTTAATGACAAAAGGTATATCATACTTCCACCGTTTTTTATCTAGGTGGTGATGAGGGTGCCCCTGGGCAGCACTACCTTCAAGAAGAGATACTGTCTTTGCAAAATTTGGAATCTTCTGCAATAACAAAGCAGGAGGATGAAGTGGTTCCCGAGCCGCAGCCTTCAGTAGCCATCAGCGACCCCACTCCTTCCCAAGAGAAAAAACCTGCTGATAAAAAGAACATAAAGCCAAAGTGGTTAAAGATGTAATATGGATTTCAGGTAATTTAAGCAAAGGCTGGCTTCCACCCTCATGTATGTTTTGATTGATTGATCCCTGTAATGCGCTGTTTGATCTGTTCTGATATTATTCATTATTATTGGTGTGCTGCAGCTATGAACAGCAGCGGCATATATTTGCCAGTTTAAAAGCATCCATCTCTCTCCGTGTAACTTATGTCGGTGAAAAAGAGCAGCAGATCATTTCCATTAGTGTGCTGGATAGATGGATTCTAATGCCCCCCCCCCCCCCCCAAAAAAAAAATAGAAGAAAGTTTTCGGTGTGAACATATTTGTGTTATCATGTTTTTCTCTAGTCTATCTTTCATTTCATGGTGGTATCTAACTTGCATTGGAATGTGCTTCTGTTATTTCCTTTTGGTTAGTCTATGTTTGGTTGCCTGCATTGGTTCACCAAGAGTCGAGTCCTTCGAAGAGGACACCTCCCATTATAAAATGGTGAGGTGACGTGTGACACGGAGTGCTGGCTTTTTCGATTTCTCGCAACTACGCTGGGCGCAACAGTGTGCTGCTATGTGGCAGCCTATTTAAGTGCTAAAAAAGGGCGCACGGAGGGAGCAGTAGGTTATTGATCATCAACAAAGTCAAGTACCTAAATACATGCCCTACAAGTTCTTCATAAATATCAAACAGATGATTTGCATCTCTAAATCTCTAATATACATATCTACCCAAATCAAAGTAGGAAATTGCATAGCAGTAGGAGTAGTACTAATGAGTAATGACTATGGTGCACTAAAGCAATATACGTAGTACATGGTATTGCTATCGTATTACTGTTGGAGTATACGTATTATTTATCACTTTGCAGACTTATACCACCGCAGCTTATTAACAAGAGCATACTGGTATTGTTATTTTATAATCCCATCATCATAATCATCAATCATCATCATGTAAAAATGTTACGGAGTACTCCCTCCGCCCCCTATAATTGTCCTTTTTTTCATTTTTGTATGTCCTTTTATTATTGTCCCATACCATATTTGATAACCATTTGTGTGGCTCTAATTCATTCTTACTTTATTTCCACTTTATCAACTCATTACCAACAACATAATTCTACTTTTCTTAAAAATCACATCACTCTCTTCCGTACCAATATTGGTGATATTGGTGAACAAAAAGGTGGACAGTGGTTTACAAGGTTGACTAAATTGTCCTCTCGTGATATTAAATTAGTGTTAATAATAATTTAAAAAATATAACAACTGTCACTATTTTAAGTTCATGCTCTATTGATGTGGTCAAGTAATCTTTCTCTTTTTTTGAAAGGAAATCATCAATATGAAATTGATCAAGAATGACTACAATCTTCACCATACAATTACTACTATTAGTCCTACGATTAGACATAGAAACTATCACCTCTTAAGAAGTAATATGAATCGCTAAACATCAAGTGGGCTTAATGTAGCTATTGTTGAACAAACAAATTTGTCCCCCTCTAGGTCTCTAACCATATCAAATCTAGCTGAAATCTCAGTAATCGTAATAAATCTAGCATCATGATTCATGAACTATAACAAAAAACAAAACAATAACAACAGAGTTCATAATTAACAAACTAAAAATGAGTAAAACAAAATCAAACAAGATAAACTGATGGAACAGCTGGATCTATCCTTCAAGCGTCTTGTTCCAATCTCTAGTCTCACAGTTCCTCCATGCGGCGGTTCAAGAGGAGGTCCGATCTACATCACTTCATCTTCTTCCTTTATCACCTTTATTTACACTATTCTCTTGCTTGCTATGCGCTGCGGTGTACCTTATGTCTTTGCCACACCAGTGACTTACCAACAGGCCAATAGCCTATTATTTGAAGCTCGACTTCATCCTTTGTGTGTGAGTGGCGAGAGAAACAGAGAGTGAGAGCTCCCTTTGTGGGAGCTTGTGAGGGTAATTGTTTTAGCCAAAAAACTATTCTACAAATTGTTGTATATAGGATGAATATAAAAACTAATGAATAAAATAGAATAATCAAACTCTTAGCATGAATCACAATAGTGGGAATAAAATATAATAATTAAGCTCTCGGGATAAATCACAATAGTATAGTGGGAATAAAATAGAGTTATTTAATTGTTGTTGGGGTTTAATGCACCAAACCCTCCTGTGATATGGAAATTCGGCGCATCAGCTTCTTGTGATTTAAAAAATGCGTCAAACATCCCTATGTTTTAATTAATTATGCGCAAAATACCTTCTATGAACGAATTCAATTGTCAAATAAAAGAAAAATGATTAACATTTTTGTATGATTTAAAGATTTTGACATATTACTTGCATATTCAAAAAAATATTAGGAAAAGTGATTTCAAAATAATTAAATTTAGTCATAAAAGGGGTTGTGTGCATGATTGATTAAAACACAAGGGGATTTGACGCATTTTTTAAATCACAGAGGGCTAATGCGCTGCATTTTTATTTCACGAGGGGGTTTGGTGCATTAAACCTAGGGGTGAGCACGGTCCGGGTCAGTTTGGGTAATTGATAAATTTTTAAGAACTGCCGGTTCCATTTAACGGGTAGGTTTGGTCCGGGTATAACAAGTTTCAAAACAGGAACCGGACCTTACCCTCCCCGTTTGAAACCGGCCAGTTCGGTCCGAGTCTCCGGTTCTGTTTTTGTAAAAAAATATATGACTATGCAAGCAAAGTTTTTAGTAAGTTATAAAGTTCTCAAATTAATTATGTATTAATGTAACCATAATATTGTAAAAGTTCAAAATAAAAGTATAAGACACCATTTTAAATTAGTTACAAAATATCGAACCATAAATCAATAAATTACACAATACACAGCTACCTTAATTAAAATGTTAATCATCACTCATAAACTAATTAAAAAGATAGCACCATTAATTCATAAGAAATTAAACTAGTTAATATACATATTTGTCTATGAAAACAATTTAAAGCTTATTAAATCTCCAAGTATAAGTAAAATTAAGATAATTCAATGAATATGTCACACTTCATTGACTAAGAGTCTTTGTTTACAAAAAAAATATTTAAGAAGGTTTGATGCATTTGGAATAGAGAATTGAGAAAAACAATTTAGGAGTTTAATTATACAGACATGGAAATTATTTTTAATAAACTGAGAGGTTTCTTCAATTGGAAGTCTTTGTCTAGACACAAGAACATGAAGAGCTTTCGTGTGTTGTTAGTATATTATATTATACTAGTATTAAATATAATAGAGATTATTAAAATAATATTTTGAAATGGTTCGGTCTGGGTACCCGTTTTTTCAATGTTTAAGACCCGTTCGGTTCCTAAGTTTTCCAGTACCCACCCCGCCCCGAACCGTTTGGGTTTTCTAAAATTAGGACCCAACCCTAACCCGCCCCGAACCTGTATTACCCGGCTTGACCCGCGGTTCGAATACCCGTTTGCCCACCCCTAATTAAACCCATTGTTGTGGCTAAAATTAATTTTCTTTCATCTGCACAAATTTCAACCATACAATTTTTATTTTATTAATTCACGTGAAAGTTAACTTTGGCCAACCTTTTCAGGACGGAGGGAGTATATAATAGGGATGATCATATCATTTCCACTTGAGCAGCTAACAATCCGACTATTCGCTCCACTTCTTCCGCTCCAAGCTTCTTATTGTCATTTGCTCCTTAAGTTTGTACTCCTTCCGTCCCCCAATTAAGTTTCCGGTTTGACTTCACACATATTAAGAAAATAAATTTGACTTTACCGTGGAATGCACTGTTTTGCACTGTTCAAACACTATTGACACTGTTTTGCACTGTTTGACACTGTTTTGATGTAGATAATTTACCAAATAAGAAAAGTAAGGAAGTGTGAACTTAATTTAGAGGTTGCCCAAAAAGAAAAGTGGCAACTTAATTGCGAGACAGATAAAGTATTTCTTAAGTTCATGGGCCCACCTTTATTTATTTCTTCAATTATTTCATGACCCAACCGTAAACATAGTGAGTGGTGGAGTGATCTAGCCTAGTGAGTGGTGGAGTCAAGTCTAGGGGTTCAAAACCCGAGCTGGAGACTGAATATAAACTCTACAATGATCATTTTTACCTCAAAGTCAACACAACACAAATGTGACTTCATCTTTGTTTATTTTAATTAGTCCATAATTTAGCACGTAATCAAAAGTTATATTTGATAAAAGTTGATTTATACGATCATACGGGTAATAAGTTCAAAATATGAGTTACCAAAGAGTCTCTAAAAGGTCAATTAAAACTAAATAATAAAATATAAAAAATAATAAAATGCAATGTATTCAAAATCAGAACATAAAAATATTTCATTGGTCAAGATTCAAGAATAGTGAATTAGAGTTGATCAACGTAAGAAAGGAAAAAATAATTAAAATATCCCAAACTTTGAAAGGGTGTGAGATAATCACTCCAAACTTCCATATGTAATTTAAATACTCCAAATTTTATATAAATAGATATTTTAGCACCATGATCATGTATGATTTCTTTCAAAAATGTTAATTTTTGGTGTTAATTTCATAATTTAAAAATATTTTAGCATTCATGAAGATACAATTAACATTCTAAACTTCAATTGTAAAATAAATAATTTGTATAATTGCAGTGTTTTTAATTTATTGTTTCAAATTATGCAATTAACCACATAAATTTACATTCTCGAAAAGATAATATATGATCATGATACTAAAATTAACTTTTTATATAAAATTTAGAATATTTAAATTACATACTAAATTAAATATTTAAATGTTTAAGGTGTTTATCTCAAACTTCTATAAAGTTTGAACTATTTGTATTATTTTTCCCTCAAAAATTTATTTAGAGGCAAACTATGTGAAGTGGTATGGAACATTAAGTGAGAAAGGAAAGTGGGTGGGTGGATCATGTCACATTGATCGCTGCATGTACTGTGTAGTGTACCGTTAAATGGGGTAGTTTGTTCACATTTACTGCTTGTTTGGTAGGCTTTTTTTTTTTTCAACTTACGTTTGGGCTTTATTAATATAAATCCTTTCACCAAACATTAATTGAAATATCGATAAATATACTCCGTACAATTGATTAGGGGTGAGATCGGTCTGGTCCGATTCGGGTCGGGTTTTTGCTAAACCCGGAAATTACCCGTAAGGCATCGGGTTATGAAAATTAGGGACCGAAAAAAACCCACTATATTTGGTCCGAGTCGGGTTTTTTGTAGCCCGGGTTCGGTCCGGGTTTGGGTTGGGTCGGTTAAAGCCCGAATGTGAAATCACTCATTTTTCTTTTATATTTTAAAATCTATTTTCAAATAAAATTAATAAAAAGTACAAACCACAAATAAAATTAATAAAAATCACAAATATTAGTCTCCAAAATCACCAAGAACTCAAATCCAAAGAAGACAATTATCATAATATTTTATTTAAGATGCATAAAAATAAGTAATATATGTGTTTTAAAAATGTTATGAAATAAATTTTGTGGATAAAAATGTGACTAAAGTTACTATAAATATGTTTTCATGGTCATTACGGTAAATAAATTGAACATATTTGTAGTCACTAAAAGTTATTAAGTCATTTTTTCGTCCATCATGATTATAATCATATATTAGGAATTAATTTATAAATTATATTGGTATATTATATTGATTTTATATTAAGACTAATTGTTTCGGGTTTTATCGGTCCGGGTCGGGTTATAGATTTTAGGGCCCGTTAAAGAACCCGAAATTTCGGGTTCGATTCGTTTTTTTTTATTCGGGCCGGTCAAAAAGAAACCCCCCCGACCGATATCATAATTCGGGCGGGGTCAGGGCTGGTTTCCGGGTTTCGGTTTGGGTTTTCCCACCCCTACAATTGATAAAATGTTAAATTCTACTTGTAAAATGCAATAATCACCCAAGCAGCTAAAGATGTTTTGTACCGGTCTGATCCGTGTACATTATAACTATGTAAGTCTGGTCTGGTCTTATCTGGGCTGACCTGGGACTGAAAACAGTTCAAAAGAAAACATCTAAAATTCAATCTCAAATTAGAAAATTCAAAGAATACTGAGTTTTTCTTAAAATATTATTAATAAAATAGTGAAAACTTTCAACATCGGTTATAATCACCAAAAGATACTGTGCCATATTTTTTATCCACTATTTTTAGTGGTGTAAGTGGTTTTTTTAAAATCTCCATTATTTTCTTTTGTTAACCGATTGATCGAAAAAATGATTTTCTGAAATATACTGCGCTGTTTAACTGCGTAGTTATCTTCAAACATTTATTTGACTGTTTTCACGATTGAATTTTTAGCTGAAATTTGGTATGAGTAAACTAGACTTAATGAAGAAGATGCTCAAAAAATTTCATAAAAAAGTTCCAGCGAGAACCGTCTCAGATGGCGATGGTCTGACAGAGCCTCCTATAAAATGAGTGATTTTGCATTTTTTTGGTTAGTTCGAGGGCTTATTTGCCCCTATTCCCTAATTTAAAACAAGCAATTGTCCTGTTTTCTTTAGCACAAGTTCTACAAAAATTTGATTATGTAAATTTTGTGATTGTGATTTGAATAGAAAAGGTGAATTGAACAATTGATATGAGCCACATACTATTGTCACAAAGGAAACAAAATAATTAATCAAAATAAGTAAGACTGAAGTTATTATTGATGACCTTACTTTTCGGCTTATCATCCAAGTTTTTCATCAAAACGTTTGAATAGTTACGGAACGAATACATGTTCGATGAAATATTGGATCGGACGGGACCGTGTCCACCCTTAATTCCACCTTTTGGAACAATTGATAAGGAGCTCTCAATGGCACAATAACAATAATGGTGTATTGCCGTGTTGGTTAGAAAAACAATAATGATTCGATGAAAAACACAAAATTGGAACCTACCAAACTGGTTATTGCTCGGTCGAATGCGGCGGCTAATATCAATACCAAGATTGGCGGGACCGGAAATGTCAAAGGCATCTTCTTCGCTTCTGCAGTATGTAGTCTGGACTCTGTACCGGTCAATTCCCATTTGATCAATTCTATCTCGCATAGTTGAATTCATATCCCGCACTGCACGGATTCCATTGTCAACCTTCTCTGCTCTCCCTTTTCATTTTGTAGCTTGAGGATTGAGCTTTCCTTTAAGTAAAGGTTCGTTCTTCTCTTCTTCCTGTCTCTTTTACTGCCTACTTTTTGTAATTTATTGTCGCCTTCTTTTGATTTCTCAGTTTATTCTTTCATTAGGTTGGTGAGTTTTTCTAATTATTCCATCGATTCCTGCTCTTCTGTTTGACCTTACTTATTCTTGATAATGATGATATCGATGTTGGCTAACTGGATCCGATTGTTAAGTAAAGCACTAGTACGATTAACTCTCAAAGTCTTTGGGATCACAGTACAGGAAGATATGGCATCTAATAAGTGGTGCATGGAGAAAAGGGGCGCAGTCGACAATGAATCAGTTGGAGAAAGTGAAGCTGTAACCGAGACGGGCTGTCTTTCCATTGTTGTTCTTGGTGCTTCTGGTGATCTGGCAAAAAAGAAGACTTTTCCTGCTCTATTCAACCTCTACCGCCAGGTCCTCCTCCTCCTCACTTTTACCCCATATATAACTCGTCTTCATCACATTCTTATGTTTAACTGGATCACGAGTTCTTAGGAATGCAACAGTCATTTCAACATAATCCGTTGATTAATCTAATTTTCAAAATTTCTACATGGTTGCAGGGATTCTTGAAATCTAACGATGTTCACATCTTTGGTTATGCAAGGACCAAAATTTCAGTTAATGAATTAAGAGATCGGATTTCTGGGTAAGAATTTTCTACTACACTGCCCTCAATTTTCACTCTTTTTTACATGAACCATATTGCATGGATGAGCAGTTTTCAAATCTACATGACCTCTTTTTAATTTTTTTTTTACTCGTACAGTCTTCACTCCCCCAACTTTCTTCATGGCCAATTTAGCTCCTATACGTTACTTAACCATTATAATTATTATTAGTGTTCCATTTTTCATTTCATTTCCAAATAAACATGTATCTGAGGCCAATGCATGTGAAATGTATCATTGATGGTCTTCTACCATTTAAACACAGGTATCTTTCCCCAGGGAAAGAGAATCCCGAATCTGTTTCAAGTTTTCTGCAACTGGTTAGTACATTTACCAATCTAGTCACCCCTTCCAGTCATGCCATTCTTTCTTATGCTGAGTCAATTATCACAGATAAAATATATATGTGGCGGTTATGACTCCAAGGAAGGTTTTCAGTCATTAGATAAGGCAATAAGTGAGCATGAAGTATCAAAAAACAGCACAGAAGGATCAGCCAGAAGGCTCTTTTACCTTGCACTTCCTCCATCAGTTTATCCATCTGTGTGCAGAATGATAAAGTTGTATTGCACGAATAAATGTATGCTTCCCTTTTCACGGGTGTGACTTCTTGTGTGAACAAAAAATCATATTAGTATGACTGTATGAGATAGATGTTCAATTTTCATCGATATTGTTCACCGAAGCTAATTAGTATGCAAATAATTTTTTAATTTTTTACATTTCATGGTGCTCTCAAATGTACCACTATATTTAATCTTAATGATTTTGATCCATCTCTTCACACATTCACTTATAGCGGATCTTGGTGGATGGACCCGCGTCATAGTTGAGAAGCCATTTGGGAGAGATTTAGCTTCAGCAGAGGAACTCAGTGCCCAGATTGGAGAATTATTTGAGGAACCACAAATTTATCGCATTGACCATTACTTGGGGAAGGAGTTGGTTCAGAACTTGGTATTGTACCTAAAAGATCTATACTTTCCCAATTTAGATAGTCAAATGTTTCTTGCGTTAATGCTTTTGTTAATTAAAAACTGCAGCTTGTGCTCCGCTTTGCCAATCGTTTCTTTTTGCCTCTCTGGAACCGTGACAACATTGACAGTGTACAGGTTTGTTTTTGCATATGCTCGTGATATATTTTACTCGTGGGGAATTTAAGAGTCTCATTTATCTAGTCATATTAGATGCCTTGATCAAAAGAAAACAAACGGGAGAGAAACTTTGGGAACAATTGTGTCAAGTACTCCCTCCGTCCCACCAAACTTTGACAACCTTCCTTATTTAGCCATCCCAAAAGACATTGCCATTTTCTTTTAAAGTAACAATTTTGTGGTTGATGTTATTTCTCTGTCATCTACACCTCAACCACACAGTTTGTACTTTATTATTCCACGTGCAAGTCAAGATTGACCAAATTTTATGTGAAGGAGAGAGTATTACATAACGAAATCCTAATTCCATTTAAATAATATGGACTGCACTGATTCTATTTTCCCCTTCAATATTCAAAGCATTATTTTCATCTCAAGCCATGAGAAACTCCACTGTGAGACTACATATTTTCACCTACTTTGGACCAACAGGTGCCTAGGTGTTTGAAAAAATGTTAATACTTTCAGTTAGTTTCTTTCTTATCAAGGTGTTGCCAAAAATTACCTTTTCGTGTGCTTTTTGCATAGATGTACAGCTTGAATAATTCTAGACAACCTATCGACACTAAATTTCTTGCCACCGACCCGACCCCATTAAAGTAGCGATTAAGGTGCTGATGATGCATTTTGTGCTTAATTATTTTGCTTTACTCTCCCATATTCACATGTTGCACTACTCTCAGACATATAATTAGCAAGTACATAAGGGTGTCGTTATTATGTGTTCTCTTATCTTATGAATTGCATTTTCAATACAGATTGTATTCAGAGAGGACTTTGGTACTGAAGGCCGTGGTGGATATTTTGATCAATATGGGTACTCTTTCTGAATACCCTCATGTCTACCCAATTGTATATTAAGTGATGTTAGAATTTGGAAGGCTGTTTATGTTTCTAGTTGTTGAGACTAATCTTTTTGGACTCATTGGTTCAGTTCGATCCATAGTTATGGGAAAACCACTTGCGTTGCAAAAAACTTTGAAAAGAGAACATATGATTGAACCTCTCTATAATAGTGGGAGGAAATAAAGAGTGGCTATATGTATTTTGCCACTTCTGAACTTTGCTGAATTTAGGTGTATTTAGTAACACATAATGAAATGTGGTCAAGTACTACCTCTGTTCCAAAAATGGAGTTTATGATTGAGCAATGCACAACTTTTAAGCTTTGCTAAGGTTCAACTGTCATAAATCATACTTGTGTTACTCTGCAATAAATTTATTTGATGGTTTAATAAACTCGTGAGCGACTCTTCTTGGAAAACCTTTCGCAAATTGAATGAGCTTAGCTATATTTGATCTAAATTGGGCGGAGGGATTATATTTTTAATGTTTTCTTATATATGTTTAATGTTTCATTACATCTTACCAAGCAACATCATAGATTCATAGAATATGGTTAGTAACATCGAAGCTAATGTTTTCATGCTTCACCTTTTGCAGGATTATTCGCGACATCATTCAAAACCACCTTTTGCAGGTAATCTGTTATAAACTCATCACATTATTTGTTAGTAATCTGTCAACAACAACAACAGCATCCAAGCCTTATAAAAAAGATGAATATACATAAAAATGATAAAATAAAAAGGATAAAAATAATATTTATATATATAAGGATAAAAGGATAAAAAACAAGAACAAAAGATGAGGGGAAAAGATGATACGAGATTACTCCTCCACAAGAATACTCGCCCTCCACTTATTCGTCACTAAATCATTATATGATATTATCTGAAGTTGCAACATATATTTCAGTGATTTCAAGTAATCTAGTGTTTCGCAGAAGGCTTTGCATTACTTTGGGTCCCTTTCTTTGCCCTCCCTTAACTCCCTATATTCCCCTTTTCTCTCTTCTGCAATTGGTTGATTTTGTTACAGATTATTATTTATTTATTTGAAATTAGGCTTAATTAATTGTAACAATTAGGAGTAAAAGATGGGTCGTATGCACAAAGAACTATCCTTGTTTTATTCAGTTATACGAAAAGAACAAAAGCAAATAATACGTAGTAATTCTTTTGTTTGGGAGTAAGTGAGTCCTAATTTCAGCAAAAGATACTGATGCTTCTATTTGATGTTCCTATTAATTGATTATTTTTGGATTGTCATTTTCTATTGTAATACAGGTTTTTTGCCTTGTTGCCATGGAAAAGCCTATTTCTCTGAAGCCTGAGCATATCCGGGATGAGAAAGTGAAGGTTTGCTCTGAATATGCCTCTAGTATTGTAATTTGTTTGTTTTGTTAGAAGCTTTGAGTTGGCTTAATCATGAATGGTTATCATTGGATGATTTTGCCACAATATGCAAGAGTTTTCCAATTTATTTGCCTTTTCTTAGAGTTACATTTGTAAGGATTTCCTTTTCCACCACCCGCTAACAAATAACCCTGCTGCAATATGTTCTCACGTCCTCGGCTTTGCTGAAAATATCCCAAAACTAATGTACCCGTCCTCTCCATTGGGGGCTCTACATATAGCCTAATACCAGAATGTAAACTAGGCAAGCGGTAACCAATAATCAATCCTTCCTAATGTCATCTTTGAAATAATATTCTATGTAATCATATCTGATTTATTATGATCCCCTTAATTGATTATATGATTTGTCTTAAACATTTGAAGGGTATCTTGCTTGCATACCTTTTACCACATTTGATTAATTTAATATGGACTCCAGGTACTTCAATCGGTGAACCCAATAAAAGACGAAGAGGTTGTTCTTGGACAATATGAGGGCTATAGGGATGATCCGACAGTTCCTAAAAACTCAAACACTCCAACTTTTGCTACAATGGTACTGCGTGTGCACAACGAAAGATGGGAAGGTGAGATTATCTACCATTACTGATTTATTTTACTCCCTGTGTACTCTTTATGATCTGGTTAAAAGTTTTTCTCTTATAGAGTTAGGTTATTTTTAGATCCTGTGAAATGGTAGTTAAAGAGAACGAAAAATTAAATGTTTTTTGTATGGTTTTGCCTTAAAAATATTTTTGATATTCTTTTTGGAATCTGACTTAATTATACTACACATTTTATAGCCTTAACATCATAGAAGTATATAAATACAATGACTTTGAACAAATATCTAAAGTTGATTATTAAGTTTAAATAATTTTTTATCACGCTCAAATTTCCTTTCCTTTCAAATGTTCATCGATTTTCCTTCCAAATTCTTTCCCAGATTTATTTGGGTTCCAAACAGACCCTTAAGGAATCAGATTTACCCATCTGTTATTAATATCACCACATGAATGACTTGCTGTAGGTGTGCCATTTATACTGAAGGCAGGGAAAGCACTGAATTCTAGAAAAGCAGAAATACGTATCCAATTTAAGGAAGTTCCTGGTGATATATTCAAGTGTATGTATCATGTGAATCATCATATTTCATCTTTCTTTTATTGCTTATTGTGTCTTCCATTTTTTAAAAAATCAGCATTGATATTTGTGGGGTTTCAAGGTTCCTGCCAATTCCAATACCAATTAATAAAAAGAATCAGTAGTGGGAGGGGGGTGGTGGTGGTGGTGGTGGAGAAACCTATAGACATCCAAATGCTTACTGTCATATTTCCCATTATTTTCTTAGGAAACATCAAAAGAAACTAATTGCATGAATGAGACAAACTAATTGCATGAACAGCAAATTGTTTTAAATGGTTGGGAGTCGATTATTACATGACCCTGGAAGTCCATATCTCATTATTTGATATTGTTGCAATGAATCATGTTTTTGAGCAAGTCTTGTAAAAACACATTATCAGGTCAAAAGCAAGGAAGGAATGAATTTGTTATACGTCTTCAGCCTTCAGAAGCTATGTACATGAAACTTACGGTAAAACAGAAACGTACAAGATTTATGTGAATATACACCAGTTTTTATATACTTGAAAGGTCTATTCTTAGCTCCATAAATGCACATGTAGACATGAGCAAAAGAGCATATTAGATTTGTTTGCCTGGATTTCAGTTTGCTGAGAATGTGATGATGATTGGCATATCAACCATTGCAGGTCAAGCAACCTGGATTGGAAATGTCAACTGTTCAGAGTGAACTAGACTTGTCGTACGGGCAACGTTATCAAGGGGTCACCATTCCTGAGGCTTATGAGCGCCTTATACTTGACACGTACCATTCCTATCCTTCAATCAATTTTTGTTTGAACTTTTTATTTTTTCATCTGTAACTTTTTTATTTGAGTCTTTTTTTAATGTACAGAATAAGGGGGGATCAGCAGCATTTTGTTCGCAGGGACGAGCTCAAGGTATATTTTAATAATACATCCACATATATTTTATTTTCGCATCAATGTCAGTGTGTACGGAATATGCAATACATATAAATATTAGCAGATGAATAATGGTTAGACTTGGTGTGAATGTTGGTGGTGGTGGTTCAGGTGGCTTGGGAGATATTCACCCCAGTATTGCACAGGATTGACAATGGAGAGTTTAAACCCACAGCTTACAAGCCAGGCAGCCGTGGCCCTGCAGAAGCGGACGCTTTGCTTAAAAGGGTAGGCTATGCTCAAACACATGGTTATATATGGATCCCTCCTACCTTGTAATATCACTACACGTATCCAGAGTATATACAAACAAACACAAAGCGAAGTCCTCATTGATCACCCAAACTGTGGGATGCCTGCAATAATCTTCAATCATCTTATTGCTTGCTAAAATTCTAATAATAAACAGCATATTTTAGGGCAAGGCATGTAACATTGTTGTTCTTTGTTGTTGTTAATACTATTTATTGCTATAACGATGAATTGAATATTTATACATGTCTGTATTTCTTAACTTTCATTCTAGGAAATTTCCCATTTCTTGAAACTTTGCCGGCTGGTGTGGTTGTAATATTTTTAAAATAAAATAATACGTAGTGAAAAGTGTGCTCAATATATATAGAACAAAGTAAGATTGACACATTAAATAGCGGTAAATTGAGATCATATGCCGAAATAGGATTGGACCGGGCCCGGGTCGGGCCAGGCCTCGGGCCGGGATTTGGGCGGGACTGGGTTTGGGAATTGAAGGCCCAGTACCGGCCTGGGTTGGTTTCGGGCTCGGGCCGGGTCGTTTTTTTTTTTTTTTTTTAATTTTGGTTTTTCTGATTTATTCCTACCCCACCCCCAAACCCCCCAAACCACCCAGCCCCACCAGCCTAGCACCCAATCAATTTGAAAAAAATATATTTGGGTTCAGACCGGCCGGTCCGGTCCACCAAATAACCATCTCGTAGCCTGCCCCAAAACCCCCCGGTTTGGGCCCCAAGGCCCGGTCCCGGTTGGCTGGGCGGGGCCGGTACCGCACAGTAGCGGTCTGGTCCTGGGGCGGTCCGAACCGGCCCAATCCATGCCTATGCCGAAATGGGCTACCAGCCTACAATTCATCCTAGTATATTGTGCCACTTGTCGTACACGCAATACCAATATAAAGTATTACTACGTATAAGTTTCCATTTTTTAATTTCTCAATCTTCTTTATATACCATCTACCTTATCTGCACACTCAAAAGCATCAACATGACTTCCTCAAAAAGTGGTGTTAATTAAAGTTTTAGTGAAGACAATGTGGTCACAATAAACCAAGGGATTGAACCAAATTATTTGGGCTGGGGTTCATGTTTTTTCTAAAGTACCATGTGGTCCTTTGAAGATATTTTGAATTAGATATGAGTTTTGAAAATCAAGAAAAAAGGCTTGAAGGAGGTGAATTGCTGATAATCTTAGGATGTTTTCTAAGATGTTTTTACTTGAAGTATTTTCGGTTTCAGACGACCAGACCAGACTTGAATAATTATAAAACACACAGAAATCAGACATTTATCAGACCAATTAAGACTAGACCATAAACTTCCAGACATTTACCTAATAGTGTCTAGTAGGTAGTAATGGGAAGAGCTTTATAGCCGGCCATTACTCTATTATCAACTGCAAAAAGCAAAGCTCAACGCAAATGAAAAGCTTTGATGCTTTATCAATGTGCATCACATGGCCACTATCTGCTACATTCATCAATACGAAGTATACTGATTTGGGTATTAGAAAATGTAGAAAAACTAAACCAAAAGTAGACGACAATGGATTGCTTTAGGCATGTTAATGGCACATGTTTCTCATCCTAGCTAATTGGCTCGAAATGATATGTTTCTATTTTGTTTTATCTCATTTGCTTTATTTAAAAAATTAAATTCTGATGGTAGGAATGCATATATTCAATGCGTTACGCGTAGATTCATCTTAAAATATTATTAAAACACAGTATCATTTCCAAAATAGAAGTAATATATTGTTTTAAAATATGAATAATTGTTGTCATCCTGAAATAGTGTTACCATATTAAGATAGTAATACTGCAACATTAATGCCTAACAAGTGGACAACAAAGCTTAATGATGAGATATTACCTGAAATAGGACTAAAATAGTTTGAAAATTCCAAAATAGGACTATCATATTTTTATTCCCAAAATAGGACTAATAAATGTCATGTTTTGGCAGTACCAGACTTCAAACATGACAGTAATTAATCCTATTTTGGAAATAAAAAACATGACAATCTTATTTTGAAATTTTGAAACTGTTTTAGTCCTATTTCGGGAACTTTCCCTTTTTTATCCTTGCAAAAAAAATCATTTTTTTATTGGATGAATAAGATGTGCTTTCAATTAAGCTGTAAGTAAAGATGACTAATGACTAAAGTCTGAAGTCGATATTCTGATTATGTCCATTAACGATATATTTTTAATTGAACTATAATTTTCTAGTAGATGTCTGTACCATGCGTATTTTATAATTGTCAAAGCCTGATATGATCTAATGTGATCTAGTATGGTCTAGTCTAATCTATTAAAACTCATCTGTGATGGAATGGTTCAATTATAAACATCCTAAGTCACAAGTAAACAACTCCTCAATTCTTGGTGAAAGAATACATTAACAAAGACAAAAGTAAACATACCTTAATAATTCAACAATTAAGTCACAAGTAAATCCAGCATATCACAAGTAATCAACCCCTTGATAGATTCAGGGTTGATTCATGATTAAACTAAGCTTGAAGCAATAATCGTGTCAGTTTAATTGGTAAAAAATGATTTACCCTTAACTTTATAGAGTAAATCTGGAAGGATCTATTATTGCTAGTTCCCATCACCGACTATGGTGATACCGTCCAACCTTTTAGTGACTTCTTCTAATTATTTTAATTATTAATTTTAAACTATTAAAATAATTGTATATTTATGAAAAAATGGTCAAATAGGTCTTCGAACTAACTTAAAAAGTACAAATCACTCTTTGTATAGAAGACTCGGTCCGACTGTCACCATTTGGGGCGGTACCCCCGGTGAAATTTTTTGATGAATTTTTTTGAGCATCTTCTTTATTAAATCTAATTTACCCATACCAAATTTCAGATAAAAATTCAATCGGGAAGACAACCAAATGATTTTCTGAAATGTACTGCGCTATTTAACTGCGCAGTTATCTTCAAAAATTCATTTGACTGTCTTCCCGATTAAATTTTTAGCTGAAATTTGGTATGAGTAAACTAGACTTAGTGAAAAAGATTCTCAAAACATTTAACCAAAAATTCCACCGGGAACGCCCCAAATAGCGACGGTCGGACAAAGCCTTCTATATAAGGATTGATTTGCACTTTTTAAGTTAGTTCGAAGACATATTTGACCATTTTCCGTATATTTATCCATCGAAAATGAATGAACTATATTTGGACAATTTTTAATTATTTTCTGGTGAAATTTAAAACTAACCCAAAAAAATCGTATCAAGTCGCAGAAACAGATTATAAAAAGAAGGAAGCTCAGTCCTCAGGTACGAAGACTACCAACGCATACATCACACACCTCATAGTCGGATCATCCTCTTATACAGTTACCTCCGCCACCCTCCGTTACACCGCCGCACCACCCACCGGCAACAGGAACTGAAACACCGTATATGATCTGTTCTCTTTTTTTGGCGCGTTCGCGCGGGAACTTACTTTTCATATGGCTTCTGATCGGGCTCTGTAACTTAAAAGCGGCTTTCAGAGTTTCACATTTCACGAGGAATCTCTAGCTCCTTTCCCATTTCACGATTGTACCACCCCCCATTCTTCACGCCTTCACTCACCCCGACCTCGCAAAAGAATTCAGTTGTAAGCTTTATTATCAATCCAATGAAAAGAGAAGGTATACAAAGTTCCATTTTTGTGTTCCCTTTCCTGCTTAATTGGTTGCCGATTTATTCGGAGCCTTTTATGGTCCGGTAAAGCGTGGAATCAAATTACCGTTTTTGGGAACAATTATACTTAATTCATTCATTGATAAGTACAGAGTATTGATTTGTTTACATTCGTTATGTCTTTCTTCTTCATTCGAGTCTCCACTTTGCAGCAGTTAAGAGTGTTGTATGTTAATCCGTATTACTCACTAGGGTAGCTTGGTAGCTCGGTAGCTTCAGGTTATTTTAGAGCACGGTGATCTTTTTTCGGTTTATAGACTTATCGGCCAACTTTTTCACCAAACAAGTACTAAGTAATTTTTTATTTCAACAAAAGTAAGATTGGAGTTACTTTTCTGGCTGTTTTGACTTAAGTTAATGTAGAGGATCACTTTGGCTATTTTTTCATATAATTTTTAATTCAATTTATCGATAACAAATATTTTAAATATAATTTTTTCATGAATCAGCAGAATCAGCCAATACAGTCACTTCACTCTTAAAGGAGAAATCTTTTCTACACCGTATTTAGTTAGATTTATACCTTTAATTTGTTTAGCGAAAGTTACTGTGTTCAATTGTACGGAGTGCTAGGTACTATATTTCCTCCTGTGTTTTTTTCTTTGCTGAATAACTATTTATGCATTTCCATCCGGATTTTGGCTTCACCTTCACTTTCTATCTACTGTCAATTTGGGAGAGCTGTTAGGTGGCACTTTTTAATTTTAATTTCATCAAAATTAAAGTATATAGTTTACTTTTATACTCCGTAATACACATAAAATATTTTTATTCTTGTACACGGAGTAAAAATTTGAATAAAAACTATGATTTTTTTATTGATGAAAATTCACTAAGCATCTTTTAAATAAAAAAAAAACTTTTACCGAGTAATTTAGCATTTCACCCTCACAGCTAGAATTATACTCCGCAAACATAGTTTCTAATATTGCTAATATTGTTTCTCTAACTCACAGCAGTAGTATATATGGTTCTAGGAAAAAATTACAAAACTAACAAAAGTGTCCTAAATAATCTGAAAGCTCAAAATGTTCCTAAAACTTCATTTTGTAGCTCTTTAGAAATTGGAACGCAACTTTTGGAATGGTATGTTGGGAACTTCTTAAAGCTCCAAACTAAGTGCAAATTACCCCCACAGTTGCATTTAGAGCTTTATAATTGATTAATCATTTAGCTGTAACCCAATAGGCTCCCCCTCATTATTCTTGTTCAGCATTTGCAATCATGTTTTGGTGTTTTAACCGGCCAACTTGTTTGTATTCTTTCCATGCAGCAGAGTCTTTCTTGTTTGTATATATATTATCATTATTCATCAAGATCCACTCAATTGGTAATGAGGGGGAAAGTAAGCTAACTATAAAGCTCTGTTTGTTTTCTCTTGAATTGGACATCACAAAGTGCTGTTTGACTCTTTTCAGGCAGAAAGATGGATAACTAATTATTAGTCAATTTGTATATCGATGTCTCCTTCATCCAAATACTTTCCCCTTCGGTGGGAAAGCACTGGTGATCAGTGGTGGTTTGCATCCCCTATTGATTGGGCAATTGCCAATGGACACTTTGACTTGGTCAGGGAGCTTCTTAGGCTGGATGGTAACCACCTCATCAAGCTTACCTCGCTGAGAAGAATCCGCCGCCTTGAGACTGTATGGGATGATGAGGCACAGTTTGATGATGTGGCCAAGCGCCGCTCTCAAGTTGCACGAAGGTTACTCATCGAGTGTGAGAATGAGAAAGGAAAAGATTCTTTTATAGGAGGGGGGTGTGGTGGGTGGCTGTTGTACACTGCTGCTTCTGCTGGAGACCTGAGTTTTGTCCAAGAATTGGTCCAAAGGGACCCGTTGCTTGTCTTTGGTGAAGGAGAGTATGGTGTCACTGACATACTATATGCTGCTGCAAGGAGTAAGAATTCTCATGTCTTTGGACTTCTTTATGACTATGCTCTCTCCCCAAGGTTTTCAGCAGAGCTGGAAGGACATGTTTGTGACGTTCCATCAGCTTACAAATGGGAGATAACGAATAGAGCCGTTCACGCGGCTGCCAGAGGAGGTAATCTTGGGTTTCTTAAGGAGATCCTGTCTGATTCTTGCCATCCTGTGTTGGCTTACAGAGATGCACAGGGTGCCAGCATCTTACATGCAGCTGCAGCTCGGGGACAGGTTGAGGTGCGTGCCACGGATCCTAATTAATTGTTTTCCTAATTACAGGTTATATATAACATCTATATCTTATACTATATTTTTCTTAAATTTCCTGTTGGATGATTAAAGTAGACAATATAAACTGATAATTGTAATTTGGTAAAATCCCTAGATCAACTAATGGTCCAAGTTTTACTTCACTGGCAATTCTAAGGTCATGCACTAAGCAACTAAATATAAGAGCCGCAATTCCCGCAAAGCATCTGGTGAACAATAATAAAATGAATTATTCTAGTATTTTTTGTTTTGTTAAAATGTCAAGGAATAAATTGATCTACTATGAGCTTATATTACAAGGACTAATTGTTAATGTATATCACACATTGGGAATTTGACCACACATATAAGGAGAGATCAACTTAGTATATATGTTGTTTGTTGATGAGTGAATTATAGTTGAGATACATTTGTTGTCAATATTTTGAGTTGAGTTCTATCTATACCGAAGTGGGTTCATCAATGATGAAGCATCTCTTTTTATATTTTATGTTTTGATTATCAACATTTGATCTTTTTCCATTCATCAGCATCTCTATTTTCAGTCAACTTTTTTTTATCAAACACGTAACTCTTGATTTCACGTGCTGAATTTTTAATAATCAAAGTAAGTAAGGTTGAAGTTTTTTTTTTAAATTTTATTAATAAAATATTTTTTAATTATAAATTTCCATAATTCAACCGATTCAACAAATTCGCCGTTTCAACCAACATTTCATCAATTTCACACGGTTCAACCAGTTTTAGTATCATCAAACCTGCTCTTAAATTCAAAGAAATATAGTTGATTTAAGTTTGCAGTAGCAATTTTACCTGACTTATAGCCATTTCGAATCATTTTCATCTGCGGCGAATTTATATGCTATGTTTAATTTTCAAGCAGTTTATGGATTAAAGGATCATGATTACTGCAGATAACACTAGCATAGTTTTTTCAGTATGATAAATACTCCTTAACATTCACCCACATTTATGATTACGAATGCCTAGTTCAGTCTGTATTGTTTATATAATGCAGGTAGTGAAAGACCTTATAAGAAGTTATAGTGATATAATTATCAGCTCCACAGACAATCATGGAAACACTGCATTACATATCGCTGCAGCTAGGGGACAATTAGCTATTGTTGAAGCTCTCACAGTTGCTTCGCCCTCGCTTATTTATTCAACAAACAATGCAGGAGAGACATTTCTTCATGCTGCAGTTACTGGTTTCCAAACACCTTGCTTTCGTAGATTGGACCGTCAGATTGAGCTAATGATGAGTTTAGTGGGTGGAAGGGTGTTCAATGTGGAAGAAATTGTGAACGCGAGAAACAACGAGGGTAGGACGGCTCTCCATCTGGCCATCATCAGTAATATCCATTACGAGCTTGTGGAGCTGCTTATGAGTGTTAGGTATATGGATGTGAACACGCGGGACAAGGATGGAATGACACCACTGGATATACTGAAGCAGCGCCCTCGATCTGAGTCATCGGAGAGAATCACCAGGAAGTTGATTTCTGCTGGAGGGATCTTCAATGAAGCAGCAAGAAAAGTGGTTGCTTCCCACATTAGGATGCAAAGCATGGTGGGAGGCAGTCCCGGTACTTCTTTCAGAATCTCTGACCCTGAAATATTGATGTTTACAAGCGGCAATAAAGGGTGTTTGAACACCTTTTCTGCTCCTGCTGCTATTCAAGAAGAGAAGCTTGTGGTCTATGCAGGAAATAAACCTGCTATGAATGCACCAGCAAAGCAAGCTACTACACAACGGTTGAAACGTCTATTCTTGCAGTGGCCAAAGATCAAGAAACGCGATGGTCGTAGTAAGCTTTCTGTTAAGAAGAACAGTAGAGGAGGAGGAGGAGGAGGGCAAAGATGTAGTTTTGATGGTGGCACTATTACAACGCCAATCCCATTGCGCCAGAGATTTTCCAAGAAGACACCATCTGATCTTTGTGTTAGGAACTACCACCACATCCTGCCAGGCAGCCCTACTATTACATTAGCAGCAGCGGCAGCAAAGAAGAGGTTTGCTGTTGCTGCTGCTTCATCTTCGTCAGGGATGATTGCGAAAGATGCTGTTAAAAGAAGCATCCCTCTGCGGCGCTCATCTCGTTCTTCATTTTCAATGTCATCGTTTCTCGAGTTTCCAGACAAACAAAAAGATGGTGCAGCTGGGCCTTCTTGCTGCTCAGCTAATAATGAAGTTGGTGGAGATCCACATTGGATTGGGAAACAGGCCAGTGTAGTGAGAAACAGAAGGTCATTGTCGTCGTCATCGGTGATGAACCAGTACTTTTGCTTGGGTGCTGTTCCAGCAGGACAATCTGTGAAGGACCCCCCTGCTGCTGCTAGGCTGCTGCTGAACCCATTTGAAAGTTATCAACGTTCTGTTCTATCCACTGCTTGATGATGGCACTGTAGTGTGTGTTGGTGTGTGGATGTGTGTTTTGCTGTTGTCACTGATTTGATACGAATTATAGTGTGGGGTTTTCTGCAATGTTCTTCAGATTAAAGTTAATATATGTTGGATTATGCATGGTCTTTATATGAATCTCTTGAATATAATATATGTGTGTGTGAGTGTGTGTATTGATGTGTCACACATACATATAAAGTTTGGTTCAAATGAGAATGTAATCTAATAAAAGAATTGAGAGTAAATCATAATCATTGGATTAATTTTATAAGAAAGATTACGAATTGATCTTAGCGACTCATGTTTAAAAAACGAGTAAAAGAGACCAATCTTGTAGTATGAAGTGTGTTCACATTTTAGTAATTATGGATTTTTTATAATGAAAATATTGTAACAAAAGCGTACTAGAATATACAAAAGTGTATATGTGGAGCACAAAAGTGTGTCATATTACAAATACAATATGTACAAGTTTTAAAAAAACACGTCTAACCTTTTTAAACATTCTCATTTTTATTTTATACATGATTCACTTTGTACTATAAATATTTGCATATTATTTGGCCTTCATGTCTTTTGATTAAAATGCATCTAGTTAATCCATATTCGAGTAATTAAAGGTTAAAATTCATTCACAATTTTCATGAGAACATTACTTTTTACAAAAACACACATATATTGCACAACCCCATCAAATTTACACAATAAAAGGTTAAACTCAAATGCGCATTTAGTGAAACTGAAATATGGAGAATAAATGGAACAAAAAATGCCACTACATTGTACATTTTATTATGCATATTTTAATTTCACTCAATGCACATCTATAGAAATAAGGACGACACAAACAATAACCGGAGGTATACGTTGAAACATTATAATGACCTACTGATGTCACCTATCCGATACTATATTTGAAGGTTGGTGTTATTGTTAGAATTGTTCAACGATGTGGTTGCTAGTAAAGCCGTGGAGGCATTGGCATGGACCAAACCCGGAGGCATCTTGTGGCTTTCCCACCTCAAATTTCATAAAAACAATTATTTTCACACACACACACATAGGAGAGGGTGGTAGTCCTAAAACTTACAAGTTTTAGGCCTCTTTCATGCGAGGAGCTTCCGATCAAATATTTTTAAGAAATTTTGAGAGCATGTTCTCTATGAAGTGAGTGTAGAGTATCTCCACCAAATTTTAGATTAAAATTCAAACGAGAAGTCCGCTAAATAAATTTTTGAAAAAATTGCATTATGTATATAAACTATGCGTTATGAAAAAACTGCATTATGTATATAAATTGTGCGTCATGAAAAAACTGCATTATGTATTCATCTGACTTGTCGTTTGAATTTTAATCTGAAATTTGGTGGATATAATATACACTTCACGAAGAACATGCTCGCACAATTTCATAAAAATATTCGACCCGAAAGCACCTCAAATTAAAGAGGGCACCTCAAATTTAAAGAGGCCTAAAACTTACAAGTTTTAGGCCTACCTTAGGAGAAGATTCTCCTACACACACGTAGATATATATTTATATGGAGCGGCGGTTCTAGACTTTCGATGAAAAATGACTCACATGAAAGAAATGAGAATGAATTTGAAAAGTTAGATTGTATGATGGAAATTGAATTGTGCATTTGGTGACACTTAAATGTGCATTATGTGAAATTGAAATTTACACAATAAAAGGTTAAACTCAAATGCACATTTAGTGAAATTGAAATGTGGAGAATAAATGGAACAAAAAATGCCACTACATTGTACATTTTATTATGCATATTTTAATTTCACTCAATGCACATTTCGGTTTCACGTAATGCACCATTCAATTTCTCATAATGTATATGTATGTATATACACATATGTATATATGTATATATATACATATATATATATATACATACATATATATACATATATATATATATATGCTTGGTTATATACATACATATATATATATACATATGTATATATATACATATGTGTCTATATATATATATACATATATGTATATATATACATATATATGTATACATATATATATATGTATACATGTATACATATATATACATACATATATATATATATATATATATATATATATATATATATACATATATATATATATACATATATATATATACATACATATATATATATACATATATATATATATATATACATATAGATATATACATACATATATATATATATATATATATATATATATATATATATACATATATATATAGGGAAGAGATCAAATAAAAAGTGGTTCTCCCGTGCAAAGTGCGAACAATTGCACTTTTTCCTTACCGCGTATCACTTTTGCGTGTTTCTGTTGCACTTTTTCGCAATGACAAAAAATTTCGTTTTAATTACGAAATTGCCACCGCATTTTTGATCAAATTTAGTTAACTTTGGGCTCATTTTGAGCCATTAGATCTGGAAATGAATGCACGAGATTAATTCTCACTTTGCATGGGAAGACCTCTTTGTATTTGAACCCTCCCCTATATATATATATATATATATATATATATATATATATAACCAAGCATAAGAATCTTGTGTATTGCACATTTTCACATTTTCTCAAATAAGAACAATGCTTAACGTGAGAACGCCACATTTACCCCAACGTGTTGCACATCGAATCTTGTATATTGCACATTTTCACATTTTCACTATATTTACCAAAATGTCACTATGTTTATTTAATATAGGCTTAATTCGAGCAAATTGAAAATGTGCAATAGAATAGCTCCATTGTGCACCACGTTGATTTGAATGTGACAGTTCTCACGTTCTCACGTTAAACATCGTTCTCACTGGAACCACACCCTTAAAATGAGAAGTGAGAAGTAATCTCAGCCTTTGGATTTGCATCAAATCTTACAACGCAACAAACTTATAGACTGAATATAGGAACTTATAACCAATAAATCATAACTTATAAAGCTCTCCATCGTAATTACGGAAATGCCACCGCGTCAAAAAATTTTCCAGGTTTCTGGAGTTATTTTGACGCGGTGGCATTTTCGTAATTATTTGTGAGAGGGTTTATACGTTATGATTTATTGGTTAAAAGTTTGTATTTTTGGCCTATAAGTTTGACTTCGCAGTTTTCAGCCTAATGGCACTTCTCACCTGATCCGCTCCCTATATATATATATATATATATATATATATATATATATATATATATATATATATATATATCTTACTATATATATAATGCGCCAGTGATGGTTAGTTGGGCCTATTCCATCCATGCTTCCGTATGTACAATGCCCGATTTCTGACCTCCGCTGTTGCCTCCGATCGATAACGTGGTCCGCTTCCCTCCGCTCAATCTTTCTCCCAGGTATACATCTAAATGTTTCCTCTCCCGATTCTCCCGATTCATAAGCTAGGGTTCACAAGAAGCGTCACAGACCATCGTCAGCCGAAGAAGCCGTCCTCGATGTCAATCTGCAGGTATAGACACATGGTTAGGTCGCCATCGTTCCCGCTACTGATTCCACTGCAGCTAATGCACAATCTCCTTCCGACTCCCAGCCCTACTCGCCCTCTCAATCCGATGCCTCCTATCCGTCTCGCTCGCGGACCCCTTCTCCATGTCGTAGCTCCAGACCCTCCGGCGCTTATAATCTTCGATCTTCCAAACCGAAAATTGCTTCTGATGCTGGCGGCAGTAGTACTGGCAGGAGAAGTGGCAGAATTCATACTTTCTCTGAGCTGAATCGTCAAGGCGCTGAAGGATCCGGGAGCGACTCCGACAATCCTCAGGAGTACTATACGGATGGAGAAAAAGGTATTATTGTTGCTTATTTTTTGATCAAAGTATAATGCTTCTTTCATTGTTTAAAGATATATATATATATATATATATATATATATATATATATATATATATATATATATATATATATATATATATGTTTTGTATTAGCATAGTAGCGTTGAGTGATTGACAAGTTGGTGATGCTCTATTATGGAAGAGTGCAATAATAGGGATATCCTTTGGAATCGTTGAGTTCAGTGATTTTTCATAACGGGCTAATGGAGTACCATTAATTGCTCATTGGTCAGAGTTCAAATAGTGATCAATCTGTATTCTTAGCACGTTAATGTTGAATTATCATTTGAATAATCTGTTACAGAGATTTTCAAAATCAAACACCCCACGAGAGATTGAATTGGGTTTCAGACTATGGTAAATGTACATCTTTAGAAATTAAAACAAAACTACTACTTTTTTCTAAAAGTTTTATTTATATATATCAATGCTTGGTCTTACTCTGTAGCTGGAATTACAGCCATCTACACTTGAGCAAGCCCAATAAGCTGATACATATGTTCAATCTGCTCTGAAGTAGTACTTCATAAAATATACATCTGGGAATACATTTTTTGAGGATTAATCTTTGCATACTAAGTTTATATACCTTTTTTGTATCTTAGTATCTTCTCTCTTTGTCTATCTCTATGTTTGTGATAGAAAGAATGACAAAATATAACTCTCAACTTCTCATTGAACAATTATATGAACACTTCTAAATTTTCACTATTCAGTTCGTGTTCACTATTCAGTATATCATTCTGTTAGCTGATTGGTTTTCTGCCGATGGTTTAGTTTCTGTGGCCGGATTGTGATGCTACAGGGTATCTATATGAAGATGTTTTTTGTGTGGTAAAGAACTCAACAACTTTGACTTGATCGTTATTCACTCTACATGTTTCTCAAGTCCATATTGATCTCCCTACTCTTTCTGACAAAGATAAAGAGGTAGTAACCGTAACCTCTCACAACTGCATATAAACTATTTTCCTTTTTATATCTTAGAAGGTGTTGTGTTATTAAATACATATACATTTTCATGAGGAACTGAGGATGTTTATTTGGTTATTGCTGCACAAAATAGAAATTTGACTATTTTTTCTGAGTATCCTAGAAAAGAGTCACCACTAGCAGTGAAATTCTGATAATAAAAAAAGAGTCAAATGTATATGTATATGGTTGATTTTTTTCTAGGAAACTCTGAGGATGCTCATCCCCTATTGCGAGCTTCTAAAAAATGTCCTGGATGATTGCTTTGAATCAGCTTATATCTCTGCCACGTCCTAATTATATACTTTGAGGTTTTCAGTTTAAAATTGCTCTTCCACATCTAAGGTTTAGTATTAAAATATCTCTTGATCATCTCATATTTGGTACAAAATTTGGTTTAATTTTCATGCCTGATTTTTATATTAATTTATGTATGTGTGACATT